TTTTTTTTTTCTTACATTTTGGCATTTTCAACAGATATTCAAAAGATTAAACCATTGGTGCTCTAAAATAGTGTGTTGATAGCTTAGTGGTGAGGAATCACACTGCCAATGCACAGGTATGCAGTTCGAATCCACCAGCTGCTCCACGGGAGAAAGATGGGCAACTAATTCCCATGCAATTTACTACCTCTGAGAGCCCACCGGAGAGTCTGTGATGGGCCGTGACTCACAGCTCACAGCAGCAATCCCATGAAGAGAAGCACAATGCTGTCGTAGTCTGCATGCTGTTAGGCTCAGTCCTGACTAGTGGCGGCCCTGCAAGCAACACAAGGAGCACAGTCTCCCGGTCCTGCTCCGGCCTCACCGTGGTCCCCATGTCTGAGCCCATTGCTGTGGTCACTGCGTCAGCCCATCTTGGTGAGGGCCAGCTGCGTGGCATTCCTCCTCTTTTTAGTGATAAAGTTCCTTTTTGAAAGGAAACAATTGTTGCTAGATCTTTGACTACATTAACCACGCTGACATAGAATAACAAGTGTGTAAAGAAAACTAAATGGCTAGTATTACGTACATATTGACTTTCCAGTCAATTTACATGAACTTGAAATTTTAGAGCTAGAAGAGAGCTTCTTTGTTGTATGCAAAGGTTAGCTCATAGTTTCTCCTCCTCGTAGACCGATGAGGAGATGAATCGACACCGTGACCCCAGCAGTGGCCTTGAGCAAGTGGGAGATTGTGAGGATGGCGCAGGAGGAAGGCACATTCCCCGTTGTTCACAGGTTGCTGTGAGTTAGGGTCAGCTCAGGGGCACACAATAGTAACAGCAGGAGTCTGATGAGAGGACCCAGGTGGCATGGTCAGTATTGGGCTGCACTGCAAACCCAAAGCCTTTGTGTCTCCAGCAGTTCGAATCTACTGGCAGTGATGAGGCAGGGAGATGGGCAGTCTCCCCTGTCAGGATTTACAGCCTCACAAACCCAATGGAGGGAAACAAACGTTTGAGTGGTCTGAAGGCGCCGACCTATCGACAGGTGTAAGGATGGTGCCCGATCAGGCAGCATTTTGCTCATTGAACGGACGCCATGGTGTCTCACAAGAGGCCCGGGCTAAAGTCTTTCTAGAGAAGTTTTTGGATCCACAAATTATTTCAAGGAAAACTTTATATCCTCTCTTTAATTTTGGAAAGAGTGAACTTCTGTCCTTCTTACTTGTTCATAAATTCTGTTTCAGGTGTATTCAAGATGAAACCTGTAAGGTGTACCCCTTAACAAGACACCATGGCAGATTCGAGTTTAATGCCTTTAAGTTCTTGAGACACCTGGGCTCTGTTTATCTCCAGTGTAAGATCTTGATCTGTGACAGCAGGGAGCATCAATCCCGCTGCCACCAAGGCTGTGTCTCCAGAAGGAAAAGGGATCTGTCTTCGTACAAGTGGAAGGCGGACACAGTCATCGGTCCCATTCGTCTGAAGAGGGATCGAAGCGGGAGTGGAAGTTCAGGTAAAGGGAACATTTGTTTTTATGGGAGAAGCACATTATTGTGCTCGTTAAATACTGCTCAAATGTGGTTGTTCCTAAGCACATACCCTTTAAGTTTAGGGACTTGAGATAGAGGTCAAGAGCTGTTGTTCATAGAGTTGTTATGAGTTATAGGTGAAATGATGGCACATAACAACAGCAATGGACTCAGATAAAATAAAAACAGATATGTCTTGGAAAAAGTGCAACCAGACTGCTTATTGGAGACAAAGATTGTGAAAATTCATCTCATGTGATTTGAGAATTTGACTAGGAGAGGCTATTCCTTGGCAAAGGATATCATTCTTGGAAAGGTGGAGGGTCAGTGAAAGACAGGAAGACCCATGAAGAGATCGACTGACTCAGTGACTACCGCACTGGGTGTAGGAGATGCTGAGAATGGCACAGGATAGGACAGGGTTCAGTTCTGTTGTTCACAGGGGGATTATGAGATGTGTGAGACTCCACAGCACCCAAAACCAACAACTGTGTGGCTTTTGACAGCTTCAGTTCTAAAAATGTTCTTTAGCTTCCTGACACTGTTTTGTAGACAATATAGCAGATAGCAAATAACACAATATAGCAGATAGCAAATTACACAGTTGAAAGTAATAGGCTTTTTCCTCCTATACAGGCATGTTGTTGTTGTTGTTGTTATGTGCCGTCGAGTCGCCTGCGACTCATAGCGACCCTATGTACAACAGCCCTAAACTCCGCTCTGTCCTGTGCCAATCGCACTGTCTCTGACACTCCCATCCCAATTATCCCAGTCACTGAATCAATGCACCTCATAGAGGGACTTCCTCTCCTGCGCTGTCCCTCCACCCTCCCAAGCATGATGTCCCTCTCCAAGGACCGGTCTCTCCTCACAACATGTCTAAAGTATGTCAGACAGAGCCTCAGAATCCTTGCCTCCAAGGAGCCACCCAGTTTAACCCTTTCCAGGACAAATCTGTTTGTTTTCCTAGCAGTCCATGATAGAAAGGTTTATCAGGAAAAAGACTTTGCAAAGTGAACTGTTTTGCTAAGGGAGGTTTGGAGGGATGAGGCAACATTAGCCCGTGGCTCACTCTACAGAGAATGACTTCAACTAATAAAGGTTTAGGTTGGAAGGGTTTCATGTTTACTCATAAAGCAGGCAGTTATGAGGAATGTTCTGTACAGGAAGGTTTAACTCTGTACTTAATTGTGTGAGTGCCTAGTGCTTCCAGATGGATGCTGATGCCGGGGCTTCAGTTATGGGATGGTGCGCATGCCTGCTCCCTGCGGGCACCACTTGGAACCTGTTCGTGCTGAGGGCTTTCTGCCCTCATTCAGTGGTCGGAGGGAAGTGGACCGCGCATGTTCATGTGATCAGTTTAATCAGATTCTGCCTGGAAATGAACCTGACAGGGAAGATGGACCATCTCTTCCCATGTGATATACAACCTCTGAAACCCTGCTGGAGGGCGAGCTATGAGTCGGTTCTGACTCGATGGCACACGACAAGTGCTCGTTGGAGTCGGGAGTCGGCTTGTTTTATCAGGGAGAACATCTCCCTTGTGGGTCCCCTCTCTGGGATCTGGCTCCGGCTCCCTGGCTCACTGTCTCCCCTGAGAGACTTCTTACTCATAATTCTTTATGAGGGAGCATGGGTGTGACCCCTTCTTCCATAGCTTCTCCGGGACGAGTGGGATGTGGGCCCTCCTGACAACTCACTCACTCATTGCCGTGGAGTTGGAACCGACTCATAGCTGACCCTCCAGTGGATTTTCAGAGGCTGTAAGTCTCCTGAGAGGAGATCGCCCATCTTTCTCCCTCAGAGCAGCTGAGGGATCTGAACCAACTGCCTCTGGGCTGACAGCTCAGCTCCCTACCAGCTAGGTCATCAGAGCTCCCTACTTCACACAGCAGAAATCTCTGTTTACTCTAGATCTTTGCCTTTGCTGGTATCAGGCTATCATTAGGGTTGAAGTGAGTCACAGCTGACTCGATGACACCTAACAACAACAACAACAACAACAACATTATTTGGAGTTACTGCAATCTGGAGGAGAAAAAGTTCCTGAAGCTGAGAAACAGGCATGGCCGTAAAGCTTTCTGCTGACCCCTAGCGCAGTGTGACCTGAATTGTCCTGGTTCAGTGTGTGCATCCTTTCGAGGTCTCTGGTTATAAGTTCAGTGGGTGCTGAACCAGTGCCCATACGTTATAGTAAAACTAAAACTTTGTTATCTATTGGGGCTACCAGGAGCGGTTAATGAGATTAGTAAAACCCAAAGGAATCCAAGTGTTTCACAGTCAATAGGGCTATAAAAGCAAACATATTTCTAACTTCCCGTGAGGCCATGACTGAAATCCACCTGCTGGTTTTCCCTGGATAAGTACTCTGATATTTCCCTGATATTGAATAGATAGAGGCAGGGGTGTGGAGCGCACCTGGGGAATGCTTTACGGCTGTTAATAACCTGATTCACGGTCTTTCTCAGGTTTTCTTCCCTTTTAATAGCTTTTATGTAAAGATGGTCAATGTCTCCTACCTATAATGGGCCGTTTCCAGAAAGTCCTTTAATAGGATGAAGCTGGGGTGGTGGTGGTGAGAGGCCAGCTTGTCTCATCAGCAGCACCTGCCTAGCTGAAGATTGATGCGATTAGCTCCCTCCTCTTCTGTTGCAGTATATTGGGGGGTCATATGGGAGAGGCCAGGATATGGTGTGAGAGAAGAACTTTCTTTTAAAATTATTTTCATCATGTTCCCAATTACAGGATTCCAGCGTCAGTTACCTGTGGAAGAGACACAGAATCAACCTTTTAACAGCCTGCACCTGCTTTCCTTCACGGTCCTTGCTCTGAATGTGGTGGTCGTGGTCACAATCATAGTGAGGCATCTTGTAAACCGAAGAACAGAATACAAGTACCAGAAGCTGCAGGACTGTTAGGTGAGGGCTCCGCCGTAAGGGAGACCCACTGCTCCTGAGAGCTGGAGGGAGCGCTGCCTTGTGCTTCTTATGTTATGAAGTAGGGAGGGCTGATGATGTGACACCCAGGCCCTTGGTGACTGACCCAACAGTGTGCTCCTTAGAGCAGTGCTGCTTTGCTGGGTGGTTGGAATAAACACACGCTAGCTCTCATTGCAAAGAACCAAAGTCCCTAAGGAATAAAATGAATCCAGAACATCTTTCCATAAAACATTTTAAGCAAATGCTGCTGTTTGTTGCTGTCAGTCGGCTCTAATGGATGTTGACCTTGTGAATTAATTCAGTTGTGTGAATGTATATTAATCTTGTCTGAAATAGAATGAATTCTGTTAGTGTGAATGTATGGTAATTTTGTTAGTGTGAATTCTGTCAGGGTGAATGTGAGATTGAGTGAATGCTATTAGTGTGAAAAAGAAAATTCCCTCTGATGGTACTTTGCTTTCCTTTGATCGCCCTGGAACTAATTCTTAGCTGACCCTCCGATGGGTTTTCAGGGGCTGCAGACTGAACACGAGGTGATTGCCCGTCTTTCTCCTGAGGAGCAGCTGGTATATTCGAACCACCTGCCTTTGAGTTGGCCACACAACCCACTCAGGCTACCAAAGCATCTCTGTAGACACTGTGTCAGATTTGGGTAATTCTTGCAAAATTCCAAGCCTTTTCACACCAAATAAGCTCAAGCGTAAACATCACTTGTATGTGGACATTTTCATGTGAGTTGCTTTAGTTCAGTATTTACTCTGCTGAGGTGGTCTGGGACTGAACCTGCAGGATTGGCAAAGCATGCCTGTGAGACATGCCCATCGCCTGCTGTCTCGTCATTCTTGGGATACCTGGGTCTGTTGTCCAAAAAAATGCTAGGTGGTGCATGCCCATGTTTATCACCGCTTTGTTTACAATAACAACTGGAAACAACCCAAGTGCCCATCAACAAACAAATGGATAGAGGAGCTGTGGTATATTCTCACAATAGAATACTATACTGCATTGAAAAACAAGGAACTCATGAAATATTACACAAAATGGGTGACCCTGGAGGACATTATGCTGAGTGAAATATCTCAGTCACAAAAGGACAAATACTGCATAGTGCCACTGTTGTAAAACAGTTCTGACATCACGGTTAAGGGGAGACTGAGAAAGATGGGATAAATGATGTATACTGCATTGAAACAGATGAAAGAGAGAACTGTTTAAAAGGGATATAGGATTGGGTATTATTGTCATGACAGGAGTCCAGAATGAAGGCTGCTTAGTGGAGTGGACTTGGGGGGAGGGATTGTAAAACAATGAAAAAGTTTTACTTTTCAAAGAAAAGAGTGAACTGGGAGAGAGGGGTGGGCAGGGAGAAAAGTGGCAACTATGAATGAATGGAAATCCAAAGTGTAAATTTTCATTAAAATTATCAGTAAGGAAAAAGAAAATGCTAGGTGAAAAGGAAATGTTCTTTTTGCTAGCTGATAGTCCTCAGAGTTAGATGTCCTCATTTTCTTGATGTGAATATGCTGCCCTCAGAAACGGACACAATACTTATAATTTCAGAAACCAAAGTGTGATAGAAAGAAAACATCTCATTCATATGTTTTGACGTGAAATTTCAAAATTTCACACCTTACACCTCTCAGAAAGGGGCTTTGGAAATACAAACCTGATATAAAGGATACATTTGTGTAGAGTTTCTGGGCCAAAGTGTGTCAATTTTTCTCCTCTCATTTGTTATCAAACATAAAGCTGGATAAAGTATCTCAACAAGGAGCAGCCACTTTGATTTGCACTCTGCTGCCCGTTGTGACTGGACTAGTACTATTTTAGGTTCCAACGTGAGCGAAGTTTAAACGTGCCACACATCACCTCCAGTTCTTCATCTCAGATGAAGAACACAAGTCCATGTTGCCACTCAACAGCTCACCTGGTTTCTGGCTCTCACAGACATAGATCTGGCTCATGGGAAAAGACTCAGAGTCAGAGGTTTCTGGCAGGTTTCCGGCAGACGAGGGGAGCTGGATGGGTGGAGGGAGTTCCTGGCCTGAGAATCAGACGCAGTAAAGACTCCACAGATTCCCACCGTGAGGTCTGAAGCTGGGACGCCCTCGTGAGTTGCTCTACCTGTAACTGCTTTTTGCCAGAGGGTGAAGGATGCCCTGGAGAGACCCCTGAAGGTGGGCAGCTCGGAGCTGAAGGACAGCCAGGAGCACTCGAGCCACTAGGACCCCTGCAGCTGGGAGGACGGGACTCCATCGTGAGGGGGGTCTAGTGACACCTGAGGCCATTGAATTTGCCTCTTAACAGCAGTGGTTCCCAGGCAGTGAATGTGGGTGATGGTGGCCCAGGGTGACTCATGTCATCACCTTCATGGAACTGACCTGAGAACGCTGAGTTGGCCATAGCCTGTTAAGAACATACATAAACAACTTTTTAAAAGAAAGTTTTAAAATAGTGATTTTAATCAAAGTTTACAGAAAAGTTAGATTTTCACTCATTCATTGTTGCACAATTCCCACCCCTTGCCCCAATTCTCTTAGCAATGCACCTCTTATCATGGGCTGTTGTCTTACATGTAACACTTAATGATATATTCCTTTTAAACAGTTCTTTCTTTCATCTGTTCCAATGAAATAGTCATTATTTATCCCCTCTTAGATTCTCCCCCAATACCCATGTCAGTCCTGTTTTATAACAGTGGTGTTATGCAGTATTTGTCCTTTGGTGACTGAGATATTTCACTTAGCATAATGTCCCTGAGGGTCACCTGTGGTGTGTAATATTTTATGAGTTTCTTGTTTTTCAGTTCTGTATAGTATTCTAGTGTGTTAATATACCATAGTTTTTCTATAGTATATTACATCCATTCATTTGCGGACGGGCACTTGGGTTGCTTCCATCTCTTTGCTATTGTGAATAATATAGCAACAAACACGAGTGCACATATATCTGTTTGGGTGGCAACTCTGTTTTTTCTAGGGTTTAAACAGTTTAAAAAAAATTCTAAAAGGAATATTAAGAATCTTTCCCAAAGCAAAATCCCAACTCTAAGAGACTTGTATTCAGGAGACACTTGTAAGGTGGTTCTACAGCCCAGCCTCCTGGCCCTGAGTGCATCGTGTGTCGGAGACCCCGCAGGACAGGACAGAGCTGCTCCTTGAGGCTTCCGAGGCAGTAAATCCATACAGACACAGACTGCTGTATCTCTCCCGCACAGAATGGCTGATGGATTCAAATGGCGCACTCTCAGCCAGCAGCCAAGTGCTTTATCCACAGTGCCACCAGGGTTCTGTGGCAAAGTGCTGGGAAAGGACTAGGCTGGAGGGGTGGGCGAGGGACACGTTTGCAGACACACCAGGGGGCTCGTCTCCTCGCTGCTGGAGCTGGTGTGGTGTGGTCCAGCTGCCCACAGGGCATCTGCCCCCGAGGGATGAGGTGGCCTCATTGCTACTGCATGGGCCGAAAGTTCTGGATCCTCCTGCCCCATCCCCTGGGCCTCCTCTCCCTGTCAGGAAGCACAGGTGGTCCAGGGTCCAGGCTGGCCTCCATCTAACATGGTGAAAAAGGGCCTGGAGGTAATGAAAGTCCTCGCCCCCAACTCTGCCTTCTCGGCCACCACGCTGGTGGCCAGGATGTGGTAATGGGTGCAGGGGGTGGCAGACATGTGGGCTCACTAGGCCTGTTCCCAGGGGGTTAACAGGAGCAGGGTGATTGGTGGCTGGGGCTGGAGCTGTTCCCGTGGTCTTCGGCAAAACAGGGTAATGGTGTCTCAACGCTTCCTGTTTGGCTCTTTGGCCCTTTCTTGTGCTTTGGCTTGAGAAAGGGCGTTTCCTTGGGCTCCTCTGGTCTGCACTGATTGGGATTTGGGGGTCAGAGGACTCTCCTTGCCTAGTGCAACATGACTCACGTATATGGTGGGGTGAGCAGTGGGCACCTTGCTTTCTTTTATGACCTTTTAAGTGAAAATTTTCAAGTCATATTGATTTGCACAATCAATTGTTCATCTACATTTTGCTTCAGAGCGTTAATGACCATGGATTAATGGGCTGGGTGAATGGCACTGTCTGTCTAGCCCTCATTGCGTCTTGCTTTGTTTCTGTCTATAAGCTTTTCACTGTGAGTAGGGCACAGGCTTACAGGGCAGGCTTCTCTTTCAGCAGTTCATACACACTGAAGGTGAAGGTTTACACAGCTCGTATACTCTCCTGGTTTCCTGTAATGCTCTGGGGATCTGGGAAAGAGACAATAGCCATGTGAGCACTCGGCAGCTCTGTGGTGGACACGGTGTCCTTCAAGAGTGTTTTAAACCTATTACTGTTCCGTTGAGTTGACTTATGGAATCCTAGGTGATTCAGAGCAGAACTGTGCTCCAAAAACGTTCCTATTTCCCAGAAGTAGAAGTGAGACCACTGGGCCTTCGTCTTGAAGAGCCTGTGGTAGACTTGAACCTCCCACCTTTCTGTTAGCAGCTGTTTGCAACACTCTAGGGGTTCCGACTGTGCTTTAGAAATCTCAATTACAAGCTGTAACCCGAACATAACAAACTAAATGCAAGCCCACTGCTGTTGAGTTGAGCCTGACACATAGCAACCCTGGGGGTCAGAGAGAATTCCCCCTGGGCTTTCCAGGGCTGCAGGCTGCCTCCTTGTTGTCCCTTGGAGCAGTTGGTGTGTTTGAACCTTCAACCTTGTGGTTATCAGCCAAGTGCTTTAAGGACTACATGCCCAGCACTCCTAAATCCAACAAAGCCGGATCCAGTTTGATCTCTTTGAAAAAGACAATTGGGGCAGCATTTTCCCAAGTCAGTGACCTAGCTGATCGAAAAGATGAGTCATTAGAAGCTGAAGGGGAAAAAAGATCAATGGCTTCCTGACAAATGGTTTATTTTTCACAAAGCTTTTGGCAACAGCTGAAAAGAAAAGCCCAACCGGGGTGGGGGAACAGAAACAATACAGTCCACTTGCCAGCATCTGGACACCGCGACGTCAAATTTAAAAAGAACTCTAAAATGGCAACAGGTTTTTATAACATTTGGTAGACTCAGAGGCAACAGTCAAGTTCTTGACTGACATGCTAGAAAATCTGGAATTCCTAGTCTGCAAGGAGACGAACTACCTTAGAAGGCTGGTAGAGACAAGATTCAGCTCAGAACAAATGGAGACAAACCAGTCTTCTAGTGATTTCTTTCAGCTGTCTCTACACGGGTGACTTTTGATTTGTCAAACACTAAATTTTCGGAGGAGAAAGGACTTTGCTTCTTAATGTGGAACTGGCTCAGCGACTGGAGCCTCCTACAGGGTTCTTGCTGTGCAGAGCCTCTTTGTGAATTTCCAGGGGTCCCACCGTGTGGAGATGGCCAGTCAGCTCTTCCCTGGCTGTCCCGGGGCCTGCACCCCTCTTTCTGCGCCCTGTGCAGCCACGGGCACAGCGGGAGGACGCATCGCCCACTTTGCACACAGCGATCTCACACTGCAGATAGACCACGTCATAGCTGTCCAGAAAGCTGAAGGCGTTGAACTTGAATTGGGCCACATTTTTTGCGCGGGAGTGGAGAGTGGTGTATGTATTGTCTTTGATGCACCTGATGGGAAGAAAAGCCCCAGGTCAAAGATGCACTGAAAGTGGGGTGCAGGTTAATACTGACTCAGATTATCAGGCTGGGACCCAGGCTTCTGGATTCCAGAAGGAGTTCCCCACCCCCATCTCCTGTAGTACCCTGTTGAGTTGGAACTGACTCACAGCTGACCTCCCTAGGTTGTCGGAGACAGAAAGTTGCCTGGGTTGAGATTGCCCATCCTTATCCTGCAGATAAGCTGGTGGATTTGAACCACATACCTTTGCATTGGCAGCACAATTCTCTACATTAAGCCACCAGAGCTCCCCCATTTCCCCATCTAGTCTTCCTTTAACAAAGGGTCTTTCAAGGGACATTTATAGCATTCAATGCATATATATATATAAGAACAGAAGGAAAGTCTAAATCCACAAATCCACGCTTCCACTTTAGGAAACCGGAGCAGGAGGGGCAAAGGAAGCATGCCAAGCAGAGGCTGTTCATTCAAGCACCAGCTGAGCCCCTCTCCTGAACACACAGGCCGAACTTGTCTGAGGCGTTTGCTCAGACTTTGCGTTATTATACTTCAGACACTGCATTTTTGACAAATCTGTGGTAACCCTGTGTCACGCCAGTCCACCAGTGTGACTCTGTGTCTCTGCCACATTATGGGCATCCTCACAAGATTGCAAACATTTTCAATATGCTATTTATCAGCAATCTGCATTATGCAGATGACACAA